CTTTACCTGCTTAGAGTAGGGACATTCTTAAATATTTGCTTCTGATTAACATTTTGGATGCTTTTCCAGCAACCTTAGTATATAAACTTGAATTCAGAAAGAGACAAAAAAATATATCAGTATTTTTACTAATTTAACGGCTCCCATAATTCTTTTTAAATACTTGCAGCATTGACTTTGAAAAGGAATTGGGATATCACAAAGATAAATGATAGCTGTCACCCTGGTCCTGCAATGTGCCCTTTTCAGGCACACATACCTGTGTGGAGGCAAACCTCCCGAGTTCTGCACAAATGGAGGGGGGTGCCTCTGCCCCGTGCATCTCAGACCACAGCACAGGTTATGACTGACAACTTCTAGAGCTCCTTGGGCACATGAGAAAAAAAGTTCTTTGGTTTTCTTCTTGTTTTTTTTAACATAGGCCAACAGATCTCAGCATTCTAAGAGTACACATAAATATCAAGGGAGATTTTCTTTTTTTCTTTTTTTTTTTTATTCAAAGAATTTTCTACTTCACAACATCCACTGCAGTACGACAGAAGCTAGCAATTTTGCATGCTTCATGTCACTCACTTTTTTCCCCTTGGTTAACACATGTAAGAATAAGGAATGAAGGCCATTTCTACAGAATGGGAAATGGCAGCCTGGTAAACAGTGACTAGGAAAGGATCTAGGAAACACACTGGAAAAACAACTCGCCCTGAAAGCCCAGTTTACTCTGGCACAACTGTAGCTTTAGAAGGTATAAGCATGGCGACTGCAAAGAGGTTTTTTTTCTACCATGTACAACATTAGCGAAGCTGATACAGGTCCAGAGTACAGTTTTGATGCTTACACTTAATAAAGACTATGGAACTACTGGAGAAGTTTCAGAGAAGAGTCACAGAGTTATTAAATGGATGAGGAAAACACCCGCTGGCAAGAGGTTTGCGAGTACCTGTGATCAAAAGGAAGAGTGAAAGGTGTTTGGAGACGGCAGTGGCAGGTAGATGCATGGGGAGAAACACCAGAGAACAAAAAAAGCATTTCAGTCAATAAGGAGCAAAACCCAGAGAAATTCACATTAGAAATTAGCCACAAAAATTTGTGACAGTAAAGCTGACAGACAACTGGAACCAAGTGCCCAAGGAAATGGCAGAGGCAGTGTAACATGATGCCTTCAAATGCAGCTTGGACGCTTTCATGGAAGACTTCTGAGAAATACTCTCTTTTTCCAATCAAGAGCAAGGAAATCCCATGCTGGGCTAGCCCCAGTAGCAACAGGCAGTATGAAACCAAGAAGCACCTGAACGTTTACCTCTGTGTATAAGAACATTTCCAAGTAGGGTTATTAGAAGAAAGCCACGTATGGAGAGGTCAGTCCAGAATTTAGGATGAAATGAGCAGGACGACAACAACAGAGCCATAATGAAAAGCCTCACCCAGGAATCACAAGTAAAGGAGAATTCAATAAACAGTACCACCTTCCCCAAAAGAAATGGTCCCAAAATGAACTGGATGGAGTAGCCACCCTCCCAAGGCAGGGGGTCATCTCCTAAAGCTACCCCTAGCTGCACTGGAGAGACTGGGAACAGAAGCTGCAAACCATCGGGAATAAAAGCTTCTCCCATGACAAGTGCTATGTAGAAATTCACTCACATCAACAAAGAGCAAGAAACTTAGTTTTTTATCTTCTGTTTGAAGCTACAATTAATTAGATTTATGCCTGTAAAAATTCACATAAGATTTGCTTTAATACGTCCTTTTAAGATTTTTCTTTTTGTCTACCTCTTTGCACTACTCTGGATTGAGAAAATGTAGTACTGAATTAAAAGATGAAGACATAGGTGAGTAAATGAGGATTCATTTGCTCAGCTGAACCAGCAGGCACTCTTAAAACTGTTCAAAAACGAGGGGAAACCAGCCCTGGCAAGTATTCAGGTCAGGATGAGATTTTCAAGATTTTAGAACTTTGTTCAGCAAAACTAATGGTGCCTCAGAAACATGCATGTGCTCATATTCACCACTGAAGGCTTAGCTCACTTCCACTAGAGATTTTTTCTGGAAAGAAGATACAGTCCCTTTTGTTTCAGTTGGAAACAATCATAAGTAAATGCCGTGATGCTTTTCTGAATAATCAGAGACCTTTAAGCGCTGACAGGTTTATAAGCAGGTGCAGGGTACGAAAGGGGGAAATCCAAGTGATTTGTCATTGCTGCTATACACATCAGTGAAGTTAAATGAAACTCAAGTTTATTTTTCTTACTACTGTTTGGGAGCTGAAAAGCACCAATAAGCGAAAGCAAAGCAGACTCCCGTTTTGCACGCCTCTGCTTACATTTCCTCTGCTTCTCTAGTACCTTGGCAAGATGGACTAAACAACCTAATGCAATCCCTACAGATCTTGAAAGCACTCAAGCAGAGAAGTGCAAGGCGAGTGGAAGAGACTCCTTTTGTTCCAACAGTGACCTTCGAGCTTACCAAAAGAGTAGCAAAGATAACATGCCTTCCATCTCCTACTTGTCTGCCAGCTTGATACACACAGTAGGAAGGAGAATAAAGCATTCCTTATCCCTTCCTGCAAACAAAAAGCTTGGTTTCAAAGGTATAAGATGCCAAACAAGAGAAGCGAGTTTGGTCCCTGGGCTAATGCCCAGGATGGCTGCCCCTGCAATAATTCATGATTTCCAGTAAGAGCTCTGCTACAACAGCATGTAGAAAGCCTCATCCCCTGCCTTGGGAAGGAGCAAGGGGTTTCACCAAAGTAGGGTTCTTTGATCTTCAGGCTGAACTTTGAGCCTTTCATACACCTGAAGCTGCCCTAGGCCTGCGGTCAGGTGTCGGTTGTCTCCGACCTGTCCCTGTGCATGTGTCCCGCTCCCCACGGCGCTGGCTGCTCACGGTGAGCTGCTGTCTAAGGTCTTCAGCTGTCAGCCAGAAAACACCACACTGATACTTTAACACTCATTTTTTTTAGTTTCTGGGGTATTGCACGGCTTTTATGCTGAGCTGGCAGAAAAGCTGGGGCAAACAGGAGACAATTTGAGTGCAGCTCTCCACTAGAGACAGTCTATAAAGGAATAGTTTCAAAAAAATCAAGCAAAACTAAAATGCTTTCACAATACTGTAATACTTATAATGTGTATTTAAATCACATTCTTGAAATTTCTGCAAAATCCATACCTGACACTCCAGTTCCTAATGAAATCAGTTTAAAAAAAAAAAATCACCGTGGAATTAAGGAACAGAGAGAATATTCAACATGCTACTTCACTGTTAAGTGTAACACTACCAATGAATTTTGAAACTAAAGACTAAAACTGTCAAAAGTTTTTAATTACTCAGAAAACACTAGGAAATGCTAAACCAATAGTAAGCAATGCTGATGCACTTCAATGATGTCTCATTTAAAAGACTCATCAGCCTTTTCACCACTTTACAGCTACTAGTTAAACCAAGTGTCCTCTCAATAAAAAGAAAAATATGTTTTTCAGGTTTGCAAGGAGCAGCCAAAAAGGAAGCTACAAATACTTTTACACATCTTATATAATTTTAATGTATTTTCACAAATTTCTACTGGAAGAAAAACGTAGAGAGATTTAATCTCATGGATAGGCTACAGAAGAAACATGTTACTTACATGGCAAGGATTTACTATATGTATAGAAAATGGGATCTTGGGAGGAGCAAGAGGTAATGATGTTCATCGTTTTCTCACATACCTAATGTTGCATACCATCTCTGAAAAATCAGTTTAATCAAGAAATATCCCTTTGACCCCCAGGTGTGGCTACTTGTTTGATCTTGCATTTTGGCAGAGAGAAGAGATCATTTATCAAAGATGTGAAGTCCTATTCTAATGAGTTTTATTCTTTAAAGATAATACATTAGAAATGGAACTCTCATGGAAACAGATTAGAGAACACAGAAGAACAGAATTTTGTTTAACTCTTCTTGTTTTCATGTAACAAAATCATGCTGATAGTTATGTTATGTATCAAGTGAATTTCCAATTGCTCAAAATATTTTATTTTTGAAAAAACCAAAACTAAACAACAGCCCCCCCCAATTTTATCATTTCTTACTACACTGTCTACCCATGCCTGAAGCCATACATTCAAAAGACATACACTAACATTACCAAATGTAAACAAAATGCTGGGAAGTTAGGCAAGCCATTGCAAAGATTTACAGAAATTCACACTTGTACAGAAATTTTTTTATATAAATGTGAGGAGTCCAATCTAGTGGCACCGGTTTCCAAATATAATTTCCAAATTAAATTTAAAGCCTAGGCAATAACCATCCGCAGTCAGCTTTAACCTCTGTGTCCTGGCTAAATGCTAACTGGCATCACTCATTCGCATCCTTCCAAAAATTCCTCAGAACTTTCATCCAAGTTCAATTTTCTTCACATTCCATGCTATAAATGTCTCTAGAGTCTTGGTGCATACTTTCAAATAGCTGCCAGAAGGGACTGCACTCCCATGATACAAAGCATAATCCGTTTCCATGGTTTAGAAATACTTCCATTCCCTGTGGAATGGGGACTATTTTGTCAGAACGAAATTAAATTGGTTAAATTGGTGAAGAGTCATTCCAGGTACAAAATTAATTAATTCAGTGGAGTTTTCAGTCTTGTATTAGTATCTGGCTATACAGAGATGAAACATTCACAACAGTGTGCTGCCACTTTTAAAACACGAATGCACAGTCTAAAGACCCAAGTTACCATCTCATGCATTTTTTCTGGAAATGTAAACCAAGATCATCTCAGAGGCAAAGGCATGCAATAACATCCTAGCTTTTCACAAACATACTGTACATAACTATCTTGTAGCAAAGAGAGCACAGAACAGCCCCCCCCCCTCCAACTTTTGAATGTGACTTCCAGTGCCAGAAAGGAGGAAAAAAAAAAAGTACATTGTATTGTTTCAATGTAAAAAATGAGGGAAAATGTTCTATGTATTACAATTAATAGAAATCAATGAAAAAGACTTTGAACTGAAAAAATGCCTTACCTTGAGAAGTTGAGGAAATGAACATGTCTAGTGAATAAATAGGGCTGCTCAGCAGTGCTTATGTTTTTAATCAATTCCATCTAAAAAGAATCAACAAATCAAATTTTCCATGTTATGTCAATGCACATTTTGAGACAAATGTAATTCTCAAACAACATATGATGATGTAATTTTCAAGTCTGAATCACTCAGGAACTCCTTCCCCACTATCCCTCCCAAACACTGTCATCAAGATAGCACAACTACTATTTCATGCCTGAGCAAGAAAGATTAAGCTGCAGACACCATCCTGCTATCATGGAGCTTATGTACTTCCAAAAGTGGGTATCAGTTTAAGGAAAGGCATAAACTAAAAGAAAAATCTAACCCCTGCCTAAATCTGCATCAGAGCTTTGCAAGTGGTGGCTGCCCTCTGAAGACACTGGTTCTATTCAGCAGAATGCCAAAATGTAAAATGTCTGAAAATGTAACAGAAAGTGGGAACTGAGCCAATGACCATTTTCATGTAATAATTGCCAACATTGCCAAAACACTTGATTGATTTGCCTGTTTAAATATAGAAATCAGCACTTGCTGTTCCTTTTACTATTACAGCAAATTAAGAGTACAAATTAAATGGGCACTTTCAGAAAGATAAAGCTAAGTTCTAGTTCAGGCACATTCACACAATTTTAATTTTTTTAAAAATAAATTATTTAAATTTTCAGATCATTAAAATGGAATAATGTAAACAGCATATATTGAAGACTGCTCACTACGGATATGAGTATCTATGTTGTGTAAGCTGAGCTCTAGCTACGATCTAGAGGAAACTGAAAGTGTCTAATGGAGCATCATGCTAGAGAGTCGAGACATCCTGGTTAATTTTGTTTCCTTACTATTAATTTCCTAAGATTTATTTTCAGATTTTCTGTCCTGTGCTCAAATGCAGGCTATATTATGGACACTGAACACAAATGCATTTGAAATGACAGTGTTTTTTTCCTTCTATTTCCCAGTTTCGATATACTGATATTTTGCCATGGTTTTTACACCGTGTGTCACATTTTACTGCTTCTCATCCATCTTTCGTTCTCCATGTTTTCCTAGGACACATAACTTGCCTTCTTCTTTCAGACAACACAAACTATAGCCATTTAACTTCTAGGGCTGAGTAAAAAAATGCACACACTAATATGCTTTTCCCTACTTTTCCTCTGCCTTCAACAATTTTATACGCATACATGTACAATCAGCACTGAAGCAAACAGTTCACGTTGTCTGCCTTCTCACGATGGGCCTTCTCCTGTCAAACTAGTTGGAGTACATCAAGGCATATTAGGTATAGACCTTGTATATCAAGGCATATTAGTATATTAAGGTATATGACGTCTTAAGAAAGGCTGTAAACCCAAGGGTATGGAACATAAAGAAGAGGAGACCACCAAAAGAAAGACAATGTGAAAGGAAAAGAGAAACAAGAGAAAACAAAAAGAAGGTGGGCGATTTAAAAAAAAAAAAAAAAAAAAGAGGCAGGAAAGGAATAGCCCCCCTGCTTTAGTTAGTCATATATGGACTCTGGACTGTTTGATTCAAATACAAACAGGTCTTTATACAGCTCCTTCAGTACGATATAAATGCTATGAGCAAGAAATTAATAAATCTGAAGAGCAGAGCTTGCCCAGGCCAGAATTAGAAAGCCCAGGAAACTTTGCAATAATTAGCACAAAATAATTGAGTATTGTTTGTTAATGCTCTGAAGAGACAAAGGCTTTCCTAGCAAACCAAGCAAGCCAACATTTCTTTAGGACTGGTAACTTTCTCTACCAAAAAATTATATTCATTCACCTTGCAGAATGAAACAAGGGGAGACTCTAGAGGCTGGGTATCAGGTGTCTCAATTGGCTTCTTTCTTTGGTTTTACACAGACAAGTTACAGAACTGAAATTCTCAGACCTGTATGAAGCTTTATGTTAAACTGACATTTTACGTGCGTTACTCTATCTGCATGAATGAAGGAAGGACGATGGCAGAAGGAAGTTACTGGTATGGAATAAACACTCTATTCATGCCACTACGGTCACCACTATAATTTCGCCTTGGAATAAATGAAAAACCACCGTTAGAGTACAAATACGGAGATGTAAAGATAGTATACCCATACAAAGTAATCCCACTGAGTTTAAAAAGACAGGCAGCTTTAATATATTACCGCTAGATAAACGTGTGTGTGAGTGTTACAAAGTACCACGCAAGCCTCCCTTGCCCCTCAGCTCTCCCTGGGGCTGGTACCAATTTGCTGGTGCCAGGCAGATTGACATTACGCCACCACCACATTTCCCATTGCACTTCACCTGATGTCAGCCTCAGGCTCATGTCAGCCTGCTGCCGGACCAGCGCAGGCACTTCTGCCTCAGAAGCAAAGGGAGTCTGGAAAGAGGCATGGAGAGCAGGACAGCATCTGGCTCCTGGCTTTTTTTTTAATCTCTTGCTACCAAACTCCATCTCTTGAGCTATGGTAATAGCTTACTCCAAAGCAGACACAGAATTTTGTTTTGATTGAAAGTACCTTCATGTTTAGACACTTAATGATCAACTGGACTTGTAAAAGCAGATGTGGATAAAGCTACAATGGGTGTATGAACAAACAAGCAAAAAACATTCTTTTAAAAACCCTGCCAAAAGGGTAAGTAAGGCTCAACAGAAACAACACACAGATGTCAGGAGGGAAAAATAAGTAACTGTAATGGCTCACGGCCACATGCAAATTGTGGCCATATTTCCCTCGGGCCTCTCTCTCTGATCCCACTGTGTTGAACTGATTTCAGTCGAACAAGCCAAATATATTGCTCAGGAATACCTAGTGATCTGCCCCTCCTTTTAAGATGATGTTAAAAGAAAAAAAAAAAAGTAAAGAAAAATCTTCCAGGGTCTCCCAGAAGAGTAAGGTCTTTAGTGGTTGGTTGGTTGTTTTTGTTTGCCTTTTTTTCCACGATGATTAGTGTAGAGGACCCACAGAGAGCAAGAGTGAACAGAGGAAAGCAAGTACCTTTGGATGGAACGAGTGATGAAGGAGAGATACATACAAGCAGAGATGATCTAGGAGATGGTCTTAAACCAACCTAAGTTTGAAAAGAGATGAAAAGGCACAAGCAGTAGAAGATAAAACTACCCTGGCAAACACTGTTAGGGGAGAGAGGAAGCAGAACACATCCGTGTTTGAAGGGAGAAGCTGTAAAAATATCTGGAGGAAGCCTGAAAGGAGCACATGCCCGCGAGGTTAAGGGCCCATCAAGAGCCATTCCTCTTTCTTGCTGCTGCCCACGCTCTCCTGTGGGAGTTAGGCTCTTTCAGTGAAACAGTGCTGAAAAAGACAGTTATTTGCTTTTGAAATGAACTGAATTGCACCAGAGCGTTAATGCTGCTGAACAAGGATGGAGGCAGTGGGAAACGCCAGGACACGAAGAGTGTGCGGGGAGAGGCAGGCAGCAGCACCCTGTGCCCGTGTGCTCAGCGGAGCCCGCGGCACGGTCCAGCCACATCAGCTCCATGGCCGGGCAAAGGCGAACCCAAAGCACTGGGTGCGCTCTGCTTCCCCAGGAAAGGGGAGCGTGCACACCTCAGGACAGGAGCCTGCAGAGATGCTAAACCACAGCAAGCAGTTGTGAAGACCTCTGTGGTGTGGTCAACACATTTGCTGTCATTCCAGCCCTCCCCCCTCAAACACCAATTAATTGGAAGGAGCAGAGCCTTTAGGCTAAATGCTAATTTGGTCCCTAGCGTAACATCTTTCTATCAACTGTGACTCCTTGCTCAAGCTTTTATTTTAAATTTTTCTCCAAAATTCATTTTCTGCGCTGACTTTTAAATAGGACCTTTAAAGAAGACCAGATCTGCAAACAGAGGCAATCCTGTAAATCACAAGCTATTTTTGAACCTTAAAGCTCACCTGAGCAAGAACACCAAGAGGCAATACTCCAAGGGGAAAGGTTTTTTCCTTAGTCTACTGTCCTACACTACCACTGCGGGATCTCAGTTGGCTGTACAGCAGAAATCAAACTGTACTGGCTCAGCATCATCTGTGTATTTGTACTCGGCTGTTGCTGCATTGTAAATAACAATCCAGCAGATGGCACAGTGAAATGACTGACAGAGACTGGATGGGGCCCTCCTCGAAAAGCGAGAAACGTGGAGGATGGCTTTGCTCCAGCCACAGCCTTGTTCCTGCACAAAATCTCAACCCAGGCTTGTGAGAGAGGACACCTTCTTCCCCTCTTCTGGAAACACCAGCCCGCTACGCTAACTGCTCAGAGCAGTCCTGTTTGGTTTGAGATTTGCAATAAGTAAAATCTACTGGGAACAAAAAGAAATAATCAGATAATAAGCCTGCACAGACAACAGCCAAAATGTTACTACTTTTTTTAAGCTGCTATATTTCACTGGGAGAATTCGAGGTCAAAATGTATAAAAATGGTGAGGCAACTGGGATTTTTCAAGTGAGGTCAGCTGGATCACACGATGGTCTCCACTATCATTGATACAAACAGAACAACAAGAAAAATCTCTGTCTGTCTTGTGAGTTCTTTACCTTTTTGTACTGTTTTCAGTCTGTACTGAAGGCATGTAGGGTCCAGGAGGCACAAGTATCTACAGGTATTTGGTATATCACTTTCATCTCGGTATTCATTTCAATAAACAACTTGCAACTCACAGGAATGAGACTAGATCTTCATTTTCAGCTCTCAAAAATTTGGAATGGTTTCAAGAATTTCTGCAGCTCCCCAAGCTGCTATGACCAATTTTCTATCTTCAAAAGAATTTAAGAAAAATTAGTGATGGATTTTTAGTGTGTTAAACTGGAATTATATATAAAGCTGGCGGTAAAGCCATAAGGATGGGCAGTAGAAGGAAATGATATGAAGATAAACTATCAGTTACTCCCATAGGTGATTGGTATTTGTATATCTATAAGCATACTCATTCTTACTTCTCTGAATGCAAAAAAAATGGGGGTGGGGGAAGAAGTCAGGGAAGGGGAAGAATTCATTTTGCAACAGTTTGTGTGTCATTTTAAAGCCACATCAATTAGACTAACTTTGTATACATGAATACTACATATTATTTTCTGTATTTAATTTACTTGGAAATATTATAGCAAATGTTAAGGCACAGATTAACTCATCTGTTTCTAGAACTCACTCCCTTATGCCCATAGATGTTCAAAGGCTGCAATTCTAATTGCTGGCAGGCTCACATAATTTGGGAAAATTTCTTAGTAGGACAGAGACTGGTAAAAGGCAAGGAGAATATGGATTCCAGTTATGTGCAGTCCCTGCAGTCATTATGAACACCTACATGCTTAACTTTATTTAACCACAGCAGACTGCATAAGCTAAATATTTACAGAAAAGTCTTGGCTGGATCAGGGCTTTAACTAAACACAGGACAGACAAATGACAGAAGGAAGAGAGACGTATCATCTTGAGTGAGAATCCCATGCTCATGCTGGGAGCCTACAGCCCAGCCCAGCTCTCTTTTCTCTCATTCCAATGCCTGGAGCCTGAGACCATCCATTCTCTTAACTTCCTCTTGTGTACACCACATTAAAGGTGAGAGAAATAATTTATTTTTTCATATTCTGCTCATAAAAAATGAGAAGACAACTAAAAATACTTTGAACAACAGAACTGTTACTGTCTCCAGGCATGTTTCCTGGCGATCAAAGGCACTTTTCAGCAAAAGTACTCATTAAATTATGAACCTATTGTAACCACGTAAATTAGCCATAAATTAAAGAGAGTCAAGTTACAGTAGGGCAATCTATAGAGTAAATCATCAGCTCTGTAGCAATACATCCAGCACCATCTGTGTTCCAGCACATTCTCTGTCTAGTAACTCAACAGCTTCTGAAGTGCAAAAAGTAATGCAGGTATTTATTCTCCGTCAGCGTTTTAGTTGCATCAGAAGTAAGTCTGGGCCTCTCTGGAATCTCCACATGCTGGACTAGAGCACTGAAGACTGTTGAGGTGCGATCTGGTAGCACGTTTAACAAAGGACAATCCACCTACCAGAGGAAGGCAGAGCAGAACTGAAACAAAGTAGACGATGAGGGTGAAAGCTGGTGATTATTAATACCTGAAAGGTTTTTAGGTTTTATGATGCGTCTCCCAGCCAGCAATGAAACTCGATGAAGGACATGGTTAAAACAAAACCCAAACAGCCCGAAACACAAAAGCAGTCATACCCACAGAAATCCCTTCTCCCATATCCAACAGTTAAGCAGAAAAACTAACCAGGCAGGCTCTGCAGCACAGCATAGTTTGACCCCGACCCGATGGGACCATTTTGTGAACTCCCCAGCCTCCACGGTGCTGCTGGCGGAATACACAGAGCGATGCTGCGGCAGCTGTGGCCCAGGGCTCTGCCCCTTCCCTCGGCCACAGGCAGGGGCAGTGGGGGCACGCTGTCCTCCCCCCCAGCCTTTCACTGGGGTGTTGCACCCAGCCGTGCACAGAAGCCTTTGGGCTGGCACGGCAGCCCTGGCCAGCTGGTCCCCGGCTCGGGCTGAACTTGGGTGCATGCGAGGTTAGGTGAGCCGGCTGCCGGTGGGACCCCGATGGCCACCTTGGAAGGGAGGAGGTGCTCTTAGACCTGCAGGAGCAATACGTGCTCCCAAATTTCCATTTGGAATGAACTGCTGTATCTAAAATAACAAAAACAAGCTACAAATAAACCACCCCCAAACACAGCACAATGCCAGTGGCAGGCCCAGGTTCGTATTTTGATCATCGCATACATCCTTTTGTGGTTTGCAGGCTCCTATTCCTAGCAGTGACACAGGCATTTACCTGATCAGCAGATCAAAATAGCAACTGTGGGCAACGTGTGCTGCAGTCACGTGTACAGCATCTGACTACATCCCGTACACTTTGGAGTCTGAGGTTTTTTGTATTGCAGCAATACCTACTGATGGCAGCGATACTCACAGAGGGCACGTGGTTACGCTAAATACAAGGGAATTTAAATAACTGGATCTTTTGTGGAATCAAAGCTGCAAAAATAATGCCCTCTACAACTGTAAGGGAACATGAAAAGGCGTGTCCTGGTAAAGAGGTTTCATGTGGTATTTTTACTTGCTTTAGTGAGGGTTGTGCGATAACATGAAAAAGGCAGATGAGCAAGAGGCTAAGATAGGATCAGCGGCATGTCAGATTATAGCAACATGTGTTAGCATGGCCCTGGGAAACAACTTTTTGAAGCAAGTGATTATCAGAAGTGAATTAAGAAAGTGAGCTAAAAAAACCCTGTTGGCCATTATTTACTCCTGCTCTGCTTAAGAAGACCCAAGCTAGGTCTGAATAAGCTGGCCTGCTTATATGATAAATGGCTGTGCCCTGCAGATACATTAATACAGGTCCCAGAAGCTGTTAGCACCTAACTTCACTTGTACTAACCCTTCTTGCCCCACTGCTGGACTAACTGCTAGGCTGACTAAATTCAAGACCTGGCTCACTGGAAGTTAGTTTTTCTGGTTAGCTTCCACATGATGTTGCTCTTGGCTCTACCATCCATCACTCCTATTAACTGAAGCCACTTAGAGGACGATGAATTCTGGCTGATTACTCAGGTCAAAGTAGCGTACACGATTCAATACTATTTCTGCTAGCATATGCCTTTATTCCTCAGTTTCACAAACATAATAAGGAAACAGGATCTAAGATGAGCAGGAGTATCTTACCTGTTCATTTTTGGTCAGTCTTGTTTTGTTATGGATGTCAGATGTAACTAGGTTGAATCCATGTTTCTCTGATAAAATTCTCAAAAGCAAAACCACAGTTCGACTCCCACACTTTCCAACTCTGTTGTAGACCACCTGGCTGGGGAAAGGAAGCACCTAAATAAAGATTGAAAAAAATGGAGTTAGTATATTGGTATTTTTGTCTCTGTGTACCTCTGAATCACAGCATGTTTTGACCATAAGCCAACAGATACGTACAGGAGAATTTTTAGGGCCCTGCCCAGGTCGGAAGCATTCACTTCCACCAGCAAGCTAGAAGCTCTTTAGAATAGAAACACATGGCTCAGGAGGTGGCAAGCTGAGACTTCCCCACCATGATCCAGTTTAATGTAACAGTGCAGATTTCTAGCTACTCCAGAAACACTAACCCACTGCTGGTATCTTCTAGTGAAGATGATGATGGGCTTAAACTTGCTGCTTGTAACCTCAATGCAAATAGTCAGCTTTACTTGGCCGCCTCCCATACAAAGAATGAAGAGGAGTGAATTTGCACTACAGTTTGGCAACTCCAAGTGAAGTTGACATAATGCAAGAGGAATGCTCGAATTGCAAAACTTCAGCTTAAAAAGAAAAAAACCAAAACCAAACAACCACCTATTGTATAGAGTTAAAATTAGTCAACTGTTTCAATTTCAAATATAAACATGAATCTTCCAAAGAGACTCAGAGAGCAAATCATGCCTCTGGCTAGGTATCTACTTGTGGAATAAACAATGCTGGTGCCACAGGTGGCCTGGAGGCAAACTGGCACAGTCTGGTCACCTCTGTACAGGTGATGTTCACTAAACCTCAAAACAAACCAGCCGCATCCAACTTGCCCACTGGGAACAGTCTCCAGGCCATGCTAACTCTTGCACCATGCTCTCCTCCCCAGGAAACCAGAACAAGCGCGTAGTAATTCAGTGTCTTGAAGCGCATTGGATGCAGTCTTGTTTGTCCCTGGACAATGCCCATGGGCTGTTCTTTCAGTAAAAGGCATTCTGAAGTCACACTATCACACTAGACAAGTATTTGGTGTATAGCATATAGCAGCAGCATCTGGTAATATAGGCCAAGAGGCATCTGTTTTCAAGCCTTCTGAATTGGCTAACATAGTCAGGAGCTCACAGTTTCATCCACAGCAGTGCATATATAGCCCTCACTTATGGAAAGCTCATTTTTCTATTAAGACGATGGCACTAAATGTTTCCTGACACAGGGCCTGCACCCAGGCTCCAGGCGACGTGTTTAGCGCAAGGAACGGTTCACATGCCAAAGTGATGGTGTGTATCAACCTATAGTTAGTTCTGCTGTTGATGCAATCACATCCTCCCAGCAGAAGGATTTCTACCATAAAAGCAGTCAGATGAGGCACATGGGCTTCTGGCACTTCTCATGGTATTTGAACAGCTAATAGATCTTCATCAGGGAAGCAAAATGATTCCTCAGGCAACCCTTCAGATTACTTTCAAAGAGGAGAGGACTGCAAACTAGAATAAAAGAAAATAAAAGGAAAAATCTGGATTCCCTTACATATAAAGGGAACACACTGGCACTTTGCTATCAAGGTTACACTTCATGACCAAAAGAACATTACTGTTGTTACTGGTTGCAATGTTTAGGATATCCTTCACTGCAACATAAACATGGAAGCTGTCATTCCCCAGATTATCTGGGGAAGGGGTAGGTATTTGGTGGTCATGGCCTCAGTTAAGCTTTCCAAGTTCCAGGACACCACATCTGCTGATTCAGCAAGTAAACATGGGCCTCCCAAGGCTCATACAAAACCCACATAACACACCAAGTCTTACTATTTCGTAACATTTTTCTAGTTTTCTATGAGAAACCTAGCCCCCTTATTCCTTATCAATTTTCCTTTAGAAGCCTTGCTTCCTATGAAATGTAAAATCCCAGCCTCAATGATCAGAGAACTCCAAAGGTGATGAATTTAACATCTCTATGCTACAGCTGTAGCTAACCTATTCCAAAACAACCGCTAATGATATCTGAAAGGTTAACATCTGAACACATATTATTATGTTGATTATAACACTAGGGACACCATCATCAAAGTTTTTCCTCATGCAAGAACACATACGAGCCATATTCTAGATTGCCCCCTTTTTGATTCATTTCTTCGTTTAACAAAAACCAGCATCAGTATTTGCCACAGCCCTTCCACACTATCCACACAACAACTACCTTGTGGAAGTTTCTCCTCTGCTCAGACATACACTTTTGGCATACTTTGCTGTGCAAGTATGTGAAGGTCTTCAAGAGAAATGCTAAGTAGATGCTGACAAATGCCAGCGAAGGAGTAAGAGCATACGTAGCATTTGTTTGCCTAGCATCCTGGAATTGTGATAAATGACTGGAGTTTGTAGGGCTAAGGAAATGTTTAAAAATGCTTCATAATTATTAACTGGTTTATTTTCATAGCAAAGTTGCACTTTGCAATATAGAGTGCAAAATTTTTTCTTCATTGGTACATTTCAAGCAGAATTTTGCTGCACCCAGATTACATTCAAGTTCTAATTAAATCCCTGACTTGATTAGCCAGTAATCTTGGGTGAATCTTATTACTATCATTCTTTAAAAATGAAAAAAAAATTAAAGCAGGCCTTTGTAAAGTCTCTATTCTGTGCAAACAACTTTACCAGCTAAAATAATGACAGTTGCTACCAAGCTTAGCCAGTTCTCACCTTTGTTTCTGAAATTCACCTTCCCACATAGCACAACTCTGTTCTGCACACAGATGATAACCATGGCAACTTCCAAAAGAATCCATAAGCAAATACTCACTGCAGACAGAGAAAACTGAAATAAAGGGCTATTATTTTCAGACAACTGTTTAGCTTAAATGAGGCCAATATATCAATGCCTCGATTCAGTAAACATCTGAATGCACTTAGGTAAAATAGGACAAGATTCAAGATAAATGCTACAGCTCAAAGCTCACTTCAGAAGAACACAGTCATTAATGGTAATCAAAACTTCACTTGCAGCACTGCTGAATGTGGCTAGCTTTAGGGATGTACCGCTGAAGCTTTGCTCATGTTTCATCTGTTTATGTCACTATTCCACTTAAACACCTAAACACCCCAGAGGGTGTGCCCAGTGCACAAAGCCATGCAGTACACAGGCTTTTGGTACATAAGCAAGTATTTGTTTAATGTGACCAGTTCCCTCAGGATGCTGCAAATCTGCTTTGTGCATTTTAGCAAATGTCTAAGTAATTTCTTAGAAGAAATACTTCTTCCAGAAACCTGAGCTTGTATCAGGCAAATCTAGAAATGCGAGAAATTGAAAACTTTTTCAGAGAGCAACTTCTTTCTTTTCCCCTGCCGATACTCACAACAGACTCAGACAACGTAAGAGATGGTGGCAGAGGAGTCACTTGAAAAGAAGGCTCTTATTATATTAGCGGAAACAAGATGGAAAACAGCAGCTGGAGGTTTACAAAACACTAATTGGATTACATTTTATTTACAGTGAGAGTATGTATCATGTAGACTGACTAACTGCTGAGGTGATGCTCTGGCAACATGATATCCATGTAACAATATACACAACTTCAAAATAATTACAGAGTGACTTTATTGAGCACTGCATCAAAGCCCGGATGTAATATAAACAATTCAAACATGTAATTCACTTTGGAGTTAAATGAATTAGTACTTACAGCTATAAAAAAAGTAAACCTCACAGTATAATTACAACAGCTCTCTCCAAGGGTGTGGAAAGTTACATAACAATTCACTTGTCAGTTCAAACTGAGGTTTTTTTTTTTCTTTTGTTCCACAGTTAAAGATGTCAAGAACCATTGTGAATGAAATTGAGGAGAAGAAAAAGCAAGTTTAACCCAAAATGAATTTGCATTATGGACGACAACTGTCAAGTAGTTCAGCAGGATAGGTCTGCCAGTCTCAGGAGGGGAGCCCTTTCTCAGATAGCCTGACAAAACCCCAGACTTCCATCTTCAGTGGTGGCTTTGTCTCCAGGTAAACCTTTGCGTCATTTAATGACAATTAGGCTGGATAATTACTTGCAGTGTGAACGATTTAGGGATCCACCCAAGGGCCTAAATAATTCCACTTTTACTGAGCCAAATCCAGTATAATTTTGCTCACTTGCCAAAAATTTCCCAGCCCAGGTACAATTTGCCCAGACAAATAACTCATGTCAGAGATACATGTTCCCAGAAAACAATCCATTATCTTCACAACTTCTGCAAAAAGTGACCCCTGTCCTTACTCATGAAAGGGGCCAGAAGCGGGTGCCAGAACTGGCTTCTCCTTTCCGAGCAGACACTAACCCGCGGTCAGATAGCGCTCCATGTTTACCAGGGTGAATGAGGCCAACCAACATAGACAGAACTGGGAAGATCCTGAAAGCAATGTAATATTTTCTGACGTCACACATCTCTATATAGCATCACATTTTCCCACTGCAACCTCTCAATTTTTTTTCCTGTCCAAGTGAGACAAAGTTGTAAGAATTCAAAAAACGGCTTACTGGGTCAAAGGAATAGCCCATTTGGCTTGTGAATGGTGGAAGGTGCTCGTTAGGCACCTGCAAACTTGAGTGCTGTCAGCAGTCCATTTCTCTCTAGTATCTTTCCTCCTCCTCCAATGCCCCCAAAGATTGCATATGGGTTGTTAGAAGGCACATCCTTGCCTGTTGCATGAAAAACTTCTTACACAACCTGCTATACCAACAAATTCCAGAATTTTGTTACCCACCATGCATTTCATTTTTAGCTCATCTTCTACCATGTCCAGAGAATAACCACTCTCACATTGTGGGTTACATGAAGACAGATCAGATAATTCAATCACGTGCTTTGAGATCTTCCTAGATCCATTGGATGCCTCTTTTTAATTGAGGTTTGTCACAAGCCTGCCACAGCCTATTTAAAGACAAACTCTAAGGCCACTAAGAGATAACGTATTGCAAACCTAACTTCAGGAACTGCTGCACAAAATCACATTCCAAACAAATATCAACTTATTCTTACTCACTTTTAAAGCAATTATAATGAAGAATTGCTAACACAAAGATAGGTCAGCAGAAAACATGACTGAAAGATGAAAAAGAGAGAAAACAAAATAAATTAC